GAGGTCAGCAGTACGAGACCAACTTGACCAACATGGAGAAACCCTGTCTCTAATAAAAATACAAAATTAGCCAGGCATGGTGGTGCATGCCTGTAATCCCAGCTACTCAGGAGGCTGAGACAGGAGATTCACTTGAACTCGGGAGGTAGAGGTTGTGGTGAGCCGAGATCGCACCATTGCACTCCAGCCTGGGCAACAAGAGTGAAACTCCATCTCAAAGAAAACACACACAAAAAAATCCAAGTGGCTAGCTGTGGCCCTTGATGAAGTAACACGTAACCACAAAATTAGCACATAGTGGGAACCTCAGAGGTTTTAGTGTTTCCCATGAAGTTCTCTTCTTTGAATGTATTTTTCTATCATCTGTTCCCTTAAAACATTAAGGGCTTGGTGAAAGCAATGGATCCTGTAACCCATCTATCTTTCCCTCCCTTCTCCATTTACCTCCATCTGCCTTCTGTCTGATGATGAGAATTACGTTTGCTGATATTAAAGTCACCAAGGAATCACAAGTTTGTGCGTTTGTTGAGGGCTGGACATGCACACACAGAATGTGGCTCCTAGCATAAATTCCTGCTCAACTACAGCAGACTTCTTAAGAAAAATAAATAAATAAATAAATAATAAAAACAAAACAACAAAAAATACCAAAACCAGTAGATGGTTCCAGTTCTGGTAATGACAGTGTAGCTTTTATCAGACCAACCCACTATTCAATAACAGCTATAAACGCTGGACAAAATATAAAAAACAACTGTTGATGGCAATGAAGAACAACCAAAGGTAGGCAGACACTGGAATGGCCATGGCTCTTGAAAGAAGGGAAGCAAAATGAGTTCTATCTTTAGCTGGCTTTCCCCCATGAGAATTATCTAGTCCTCACAGTGCATGGTGAAATAGAGCCTAAACAAATGTGGCAGTTTCAGTTTCCAAGAACACAACTGTATATTCTCAAAAGGAAAATAATCCAGATTTTCTGTAATGTATCATCTACAATGTCACTCCTATAATAAAAAATTTAATAGACATATATAGAAACAGAAAAATATGACCCATAATGAGAAAAATTAGCCAATAAAAGTGACACACAGATGACCTAGATGTTGGAATTAGCATCTATAATAACTGTTTTAAGTTGCTATGAATATGCTAAAGAATTTACAGGAAAAATGGACAGAATGGGTGAATAGAGAACTCAGTAGAGAAATGGGAACTCTAGTAAAAGAATAGAGATCCTAGATCCATGCTATCCAACGTAGTAGCCCCTAGCCACAACAGCCACAATGTGGCTATTGAGCATTTCAAGTGTGGTTAGTCCAAATTGGGATGTGCAGTAATTTTGAAATACTGAATTTCAAAGATTTAGTATAAAATAGCTCATTAATAGTTTTTATGTTGATTATATGTTAAGCGATAATATTTGGGATATGTATAGTTAAATGAAATATCTTATTAAAATTACACCAATTATTTTACTTTTTTATTTTTTGTAGAGATGGAGGGGTCTCCTTGCTGCCCAGACTGGTCTCGAACTCCTAGCTTCAAGTGATCCTACTCCCTTGGCCTCCCAAAGTGCTGGGATTACAGGTATGAGCCACTGCACCTGGCCTATTTTACTACTTTTGTTGTTGTTATTTTACTTTTTTTTTTTTTTTTTTTTTGAGACGGTGTCATTTTGTTACGCAGGCTGGAGTGCAGTGGCGTGATCTTGACTCACTGCAATTTCCAGTTCCTGGGCTCAAGTGATCCTCTCACCTTAGCCCCCTGAGTAGCTGGGACTACAGGCATGCACCACCATGCCCAATTTTTTTTTTTTTTTTGGTACAAACAAGAGTTTCTCCATGTTGCCCAGGCTGGTCTCAAACTCCTGGGCTCAAGACATCTGTCTGCTTTGGCCTCCCAAAGTACTGGGATTACAGGAGTGAGCCACCATGCCTTGCCTATTTTACTGTTTTTTAATGTGGCTACTGGAAAACAAAATTACATGAGGCTTGCATATTTCCATTGGACAGCACTGTTCTAGAACTGTAAAATACAGTATTTGAATTCAGAGAGGTGAAAATACTAAAATTAATTAATTAATTAATAAGATTCCAGGATGCTACTAGGTCAATATACAAAAATCAATTGTATTTCCAAACCTAGCAACAAACAATTAGAATTTTTTTTTTTTTTTTTTTTTTTTTTGAGACAGAGTCTCACTCTGTTGCCCAGGCTGGAGTCCAGTGGCATGATCTTGGCTCACTGCAACTTCTACTTCCTGGGTTCAAGTGATTCTCAGGCCTCAGGCTTTCCAGTAGCTAGGATTACAGGTGCACGCCACCATTCCTGGCTAATTTTTGTATTTTCTGTAGAGACGGGGTTTCACCATGTTGCCCAGGCTGGTCTCGAACTCCTGACCACAGGTGATCCATCCACTCGGCCTCCCAAAGTGCTGGGATTATAGGCATGAGCCTGGCCAGAAAATAAATTTTTAAAAGGCCATTTATAATAGCATAAAACTCAGATTGCTAAGAATAAATTTAATAAAAGGCTAAGCTCTATGCACTGAAAGCTGTAAAACATTGCTGACAACCGTTAAAAAGGAACTAAATAAATGAAGAAGCACACCATGTTCCTGGATTGTGCAGATGTCAATTTTTGAGAAATTGGTCTATAGATATATGCTATCCCAGTGGAAATTCCAGGAAACTTTTGTAAAAATTGACAAGCTGATTTTAAAATGTATATGAAAATGGAAATGTCCTATATTAGTCAAGACACTCTTGAAGAATAAAGTTGGGGGACTTACCCTGATTTCAAGACACAATAACACTCCACCATTAGTCTTATTAATTTTGTTAATTTATTGTGGCATTTAGTAATTTAGTTAATTAGTGTAGTTATTACTTAATTTAGTATGTATTAAGATAAATAGGGCCAGGTGCGGTGACTCACACCTGTAATCCCAACAATTTGGGAGGCCAAGGCAGAAGACTTGCATTTGCCCAGGAGTTTGAGACCAGACTAGGCAACACAATGAGACTATGTCTCTACAAAAAATTAAAAATATTAGCAGGGCATGGTGGCATGCGCTTGCAGTGCTAGTACTTGGGAGGCTGAGGCAGGAAGATCACTTGAGCCCAGGAGTTTAAGACTGCAGTGAGCTATGACTGCACCACTGCACTCCAGCCTGGGTGAGAGAGGGGACCCTGTCTCTAAAAATAAATACATAAATAAAAATAAAAATAAATTAGATTGCCTCTGGGAGAAGGGGATTCTGGATTAGAAGTAATTGAAGAAACTTTCAGAAATGTTGGTAGAAATAGTCTATAACTTTATTTGGCTGATGATGACAATGATATATATATACACATCTGTCAAAATTCATTGATCTGTACATTTTACTATATGTAAAATAATTGTTTAATAAAATACGTAATTTTTTAACAAAAAGCAACAGAGTGGAGTAATCCAGAGTGGAGTTACTCCCAGAGTGGAGTAAACCAACGGCAGCCCCAGCATGTTGGTTGGGAATGTAACTGTACAATGGAGAGAGATGAACTCTGGGACACACTGAGCTGAGTTTGTATCCTTTCTTTACTACTTATTAGTGGTGACCTTGGGCAAATTGTTCAATCTCTGCAAGCCTTAGTTTTCTCATGTGAAATATGGTGCTGGTGCTAGCATTTTACTTCCTAGAGTTGCAAGAAAGAGCTAATAAGTAGATAAAGTATCTAGCATGGTTTCTGGTACAGTTTATAGTCCCCCAGAACAAAACACACCCCAGGGTAAGTGGTTATCTGCCAACAGTGAAGGGGAGGGGGGGAAGGCTTTAATTATGAGAACCTTGAAGATTTTCAAGTCTTGGAGATGCCTTTTATCGATCCTTGCTTTGGTAACACGAGCCAGGAAAGTCGAATCCTTCCTGCTCTAAATCATCTACTATTCGGAAATATATAAATTCCCCCTCTACAGTAGCAGGGCTCAAGAGGCCTGCCCAATTTTTCCAAAGTATATTTTTGATATTGGCGCCCAGATGTAGGTGGCTAAAGTGAGCAGGGAAAGCTAAGTACAGCCCTCCAGTGAAACACAGAAAGTACAAGAGTCCTGAAACAAACTCCAGATCACCCTGTGTCTCTGGGAATCTTCAGAGGTCATCAGGCTGGTGCTTCTATTACGGTTTATGTCCTGGCCAGTTATCCCATGAGACCGCATCTCTTGTTCCATACAGGCATGGACCAAAGGCCTGGGTTCTCCTTGACTCCACTGCTTACTGGATGACCAAGACATTTTCCACATCTATAAACTAGAGGTAATGCTTTAAAGTTGTAAGGGAAGCAACTTCCTTATGGCATATATTTTTGCTTTAATACTATGGTCTTTGCTATAACATTGTGGATCAGAATAAGAACTATGTGGCTGAATATTTCCATATCTTTTGTTTAACTGTAGTTGAAGATCTTGTGAGCCTGGGATTAACAGTAATGGCAAAATTTTATTTCCATAAACAGATCTGTATAATTTCTACGGTTAGGAAAAAAAAAAAAACCCTATATAATTTGGCATGCTTATTGTTTTGCCTCTGTAACAAATAACTGAAATTCACATTTATTGATAAAGAGTTGTTATCTATTCAAGAAAGATGTCTGAAAGCATCTACTCCTTCTAACTCCTTCACATAGTTTTCGGTTCTGATGTATCTTTAACTGCCTTATCATCTTACACTGAGTGTTAATCTGTAACCCCTGATAAGTCCTTGGGGGTAAAAATCTTAGAATATCTATTTATTGAGTTGTAATGGTGCTTTATATATTCTGGATACTACACCCTTATCAGATACATGGTTTGAAAATATTTTTTCTCTTTCTATTGGTTGTATTTTCACTTTTTGGAGAATGTGCTTTGAATTATAAAAGTCTTGAATTTTTTATTGTGAAAATTTTAAATTTTGATTATGTCCAATAAATTTGTTTTTTTTGAAAAAAGAATGTTAGAATATAACATGAATACACTAGACATATTGAAACATTAAATAATTTTATTCTTTTCTCATTTACAGTAGCCCAGTGGTAAGCATGTTAGAAAACCTGAAGAAATTTAAAAGTTTTTGGTTTACAAATAGCATGTATAAAGATATCTATTCAGATAAACAAAGATCTGATCATTACATTGCCCAGCTTTAAGAATGCCAAAAATAAATAAAATACGGTACATCAAATGAGAGGCCTAGATGGGTTTATTAAAATTTATTTTAACAATTTTAGCTAACCAGCATGTGCCAATGTAATTCAAGTTACAGTTAGTGCCAGATAGTATGACAGAAAACATTGTGTGTGGCTGCTTAAGAGTATGCCTCAAACAGATCCTGTTTTGTGCGCAGAACAGAGTTGGGGAACACAGCTGGGTTTAGTTTCAATGGTAAGCAGCAACAAAGATCAAGAAAATCCCCGACTTTTTCTAGTAACCGCTCTACAATATGAGAAAAAATAGTATCTATCACCACCTCTTAACAATGGACATCAAAATTGGGATTGTAGGTTTTCTAAGTGCTTGGATAAAAAATGCTAACACAGTTAAGATCCTTGGTTAATTATCTTTGATTTTTCAAAATCCTCAAAACATAAGATATTTTGCTTGCTGGTGCATTAACCCATTAGCAATAACCTGAGCTATCTTTTCCTCACCAAGTATTTTAACAGTGCAAAATGTTAGTAGTCTCAGTAGATGCTGCTCACCACATTCTGTCATTGCAGCCTGATGATGAACCATGTCAGGGAGGTATCACTGCCAAGAAAAATGCACAGCAGCCTAAAAGGTACATGATTCACTAGCATGCCAGGGTGTCAAAGGTAGATAGGCAGTTTTATGCAAAATGTGAAATATATAATTCAAAATGCCCACAAGCTAACAGAAAATACAGTATTGAATCTTTTGATATAAAAACAAATACTTATTTTGCTACTTTGAACAGTACTCCACATGGACAAGCAGATCGCGATGCTCGGTGGCTGGATACTGTATATTGCACTTGGGACATTCCACCAGGCTTTCATTGAGTGCAGCAGTGGGACTTTTTGGCGAGGCGGCAACTTTTTCTCTCTTTTCAGTCTCTCCTTGGAAAGTGACTAACGGCTCTGTGATGGCAAACTCATGAAGCTGTTTCTGAAAAACAAGTTTCAAATAATAGCATTTGTAAATAAGGCCCATTGTTCAGCATTTTTCCGTTTTTTGAGACAGTCTCACTCTGTCACCCAGGCTGGAGTGTAGTGGCATAAACACAGCTCACTGCAGCCTCGACCTCCCAGGCTCGAGCAATCCTCGCACCTCAGCCTCCTAAGTAGCTGGGACTATAGGCACATGTCACCACGTCCAGATAATTTTTCTATTTTTTGTAGAAATAGAAAATTCTGCAAAAACTTAATTCTATGTTGCCCAGGCTGGTCTCAAACTCCTAAGCTCAAGTGATCTGCCCACCTCAGCCTGCCAAAGTGTTGGGATTACAGGCGTGAGCCACTGTACCCAGCCTGTTCAGAAATGTTAACTGTTCCATAGGTATTCTAGCTGCTTCAGCACTGTAGACAGATTTTCTTTTGAATTTCAGCTCCTCGGTATTATGGGGACAATATAGGAGGTAGCTGTGAATTTACCCAGATAACTACTATAATTACCCAAATTACCCAGAAGTATTGGAGTTGGGTGTGTATATGAATATGTTTTATTAGGACACAGAGTCAAATATTAGGTAGGTCTATATACAAGGCTGATTAAATTTGCTAGTTTTGTAAAACAGAGGCAACCTCAGCAATAAAGTACTATATGGAAACTAAAGGCAGCAAGGAATTTTAGGAGCTCAAACAACTTATACACAGAAATGACTAAGATATTGTATCATACCTTTGAGACTTTACTTTTTCGTGTTTTTTTCCTAAGAACTTGGAGTAGTTAAAAATGAGTATTTTACAGCACAGTGAAGAGGGTGACCAGCAGGAACAAAGTATAGGAAAATTACAAATTATTTTGCATACCCTCTGCTCCCTACACTTTGAATGGTCAATAACAAAAATGAATTATAAATTTTTATTTCAAATATTATAAATAGGTAAAATCAATGATATACTTAAGAACAGAGCCAAAAATATATTTTCTTTCTTTTATTCATACAGAAGTTACAAATGATTATTATTTTTACATTGCTTTTTTTCCTCCTTTGAAAACTGAGGAATCATATTTGTAACATTTCACTGTCTCCAAGTATTCTATAGTACTAGAATGAAATTTAAAATATGCACTAGTGGGACAGACATATATTCAAATGCAGACCCCCAACAAGTTTGGTCCAGAAGCTTATTAGTAAGGTGAGAATAAGTAAGTGAAAAACCATTTCCTCATAGAAATAATATTATTTAAAAGGTTCATGTTTTAAAAGATTATGTTTTCAGAGTGACTCACACAAACCTCATAATACATCTAAAAAGCATATGAACAGTAATAGTCCATTATCCCTAAAAACAGCATTTTTTTTCTTTTTTGAGACAGAGTCTCGCTCTGCTGCCCAGGCTGGAGTGCAGTGGCGCAGTCTTGGCTCACTGCAACCTCTGCCTCCCGGGTTCAAGTGATTCTCCCGCCTTGGCCTCCCAAGTAGCTGAGGTTACAGGCGCGTGCCACCATGGCCAGCTAATAGTTTGTATTTTTAGTACAGACAGGGTTTTACCATGTTGGTCAGGCTGGTCTCCAACTCCTGACCTCGTGATCTGCCTGTCTTGGCCTCCCAAAGCACTAGGATTAGAGGTATGAGCCACCGTGCCCAGCCTTTCTTTCTTTTTTAATAGATAAACACAATTTCAGTTCAGGATTCTGTGACTACCCTCTATTCTACCCTTTCGCCCCCAGCTCAGGCACGACTTAGTGCCTCTAGCATCACAGCAGCTGGGGTATTGGGGGAATGATTCCAGATGTGATCATGTCCCTCTTTCTGGTCCTCTGAATTGATGCTCGAAGGGCAGTTGCTTCAAATGAGGCAGGGCTCTGCCTACTGATTTGAGATACATCTAGCTGTTCGTTAAGCTGTATCCTTCTAAGTTCGAAACTGATCTGTCATATAAATGGGAAGACGAAGACAAACTGTAGTTTAATCATTCCAGACTCACCAAGGATTCCAACTGTGTTATTTGATTTCTTGCTTTTCGGAGCTCCTTAAGAATTATATGCAATTGATGCTGCATATGTTGACGGTCGAGTTTTTCATTTTCAAAGTCTAAAGTACATGCCTGCATCTGGAAAACGCCCAGAACAAGACCATTACAGCTGATATAGACTGTCTAGTTCTCTTGACTGGATGCTCACATTTTTTTATTAGCACAAGAAGAAAATATTTATTGTACTATTGTAGCAAGAATTCACCTGAGCACAATGAAATGTTGATGAACGAGGCAGCTTATGGCTGAGGATTTGGTTTATCCAAGGAGCAAAGCCAATGCTGAGGTATAGGTGAGGGAAGAGCAGCTTAAGAAGTTGTTGATTAGAATGACTCCTCCCTATCCACCTTTTTTAAGGGGGAAGAAGGAGAAGGGAAAGAGATAGCTATTCCCTGGTTTGGAATATACTAAATCTCAGCTTTACACCATTTATAGTACATTCTGAGACTAAATGGTGTCTCTCCAAGTTCTGCTTGAAATTATAAGGTAGCCCTAATTACGAGATATTGTTAGGCTAGGAACTACAGCCACTGGGGAAGAGCAAAATTTGCCAAGGCCAACATCTACCTGTCAAGAAAATTGCCATCACACCTCAAGAATCTGTTTAGCCTAAGGACAGTAACAGGAATAAGTGGCTAGCAGAGTCTCTTGAAATATCTTTTATATTGAAGAAAAAATACTTTTATTGAAGTATTTTAAAGACACTTTTCACAACTTTCAAATGCTTCTCCATACAACAGCGTAAACATGAGGAAAAACTGCATTTTCTAACAGGCAGAATTGAATTTAGGAGCAACCCCAATGAGTACCTGTTGTTCCAACAGAGCTACCCTTGTTTGTTCTTCTTGCTGCTTTAGCAGAGTTGTGTAAAGAAGCTGGACCTGTAGGATGTAAAGAGAACCAATGTTGTCACATCCGACCTTTTCCGGCATGACCTGGGATGCATGAAAAGCTCACATCACAAGTCTCACATCTCTAACCAGGAAAACACCTGCTAGTTGGGGGTGAATCATTCCAGCTGGCCATCTGATGGTTATCTAGGCCAGCAGCTAAGCAGTATACTACCCCTGCCGCGAGTTCCCTGAGGCACACAGACTGAATGCTGATCAACAGCACTGAACTCTGCAGCGGCCACACCCCCTTTCTTGGAGGTCCTGACATTTCTGAGTAGGATAACATGGGTGGCAGTGCTGGGCCGTTAGCCAGAGTTAGAGCAAAATTTATTCAGTGCACTTAATCTCTCCCTAGTATCACTGCTCATGCCTGTAGACAGAAGTGTGAGTGGTAAAGACTAAGATGGCAGGCCGGGCCCGGTGACTTGCACCTGTAATCCCAGCACTTTGGGAGGCCATGGCAGGTGGATCACGTGAGGTCAGGAGTTTGAGACCAGCCTGGCCAACATGGCGAAACTCCATCTCTACTAACAATACAAAAAATTGGCCAGCCGTGGTGGTAGATGCCTGTAATCCCAGCTACTTGGGAGGCTGAGGCACAAGAATCGCTTGAACACAGGAGGTGGAGGTTGCAGTCAGCTGAGATTGCGCTATTGCACTCCAGCCTGGGTGACAGAGCAAGACCCTGTCTCGGGAAAAAAAAAAAAAAAAAGACTAAGATGGCAAATGTTATAGATGGACTTGTTACTGTCCCATTACCAGCACTCTCAACTTTTGTAGGACTGTTAAAAATTACCATTAAAATAGGGGAAATAACTAGCATTTTCCTTGCTTAGTTTACAAAGCACTTTTACCTTCTCTCAACTCACCCTCGCCAAAGCCCTATAAGGCAAGCAGAGGTTATTACTAATTTGACAAGTGAATAACCAGTGAGTAGTCAGAGAAGTTGGGTGATTTGCCTAAGGCCATATATCCTGGACTAGAGACTAAGCATGGATTCCAAATAATGTTCTTTCCATGATTCCAGGCTGACAAGCAAAATCTAAGTTAAAGAGTTCCATCAAAGTAGTGTTCAATTCCAATAATCCTAACGTAGCAACTCCAACATTATTAAGATACTGTAGCATAAGGCTATGAGCATAACAAGAACATGGAAGATGCCATGTGAATTCACTTGAGCACGTATCATCACCATTAAGATGCCAGTCTAGGAATCAGCCTTGATTCCTCTCATTACTTCACGTCTTCTTTTGGCTTCTCACATGTACTGACCTCCTCCTCACCCAGAGCCTTTGTGTGTATAATTTCCTCCGTTGAGAGGAAGTCACCCACTTCACTGGGTCCTTCTCATCATCCTGAGAATTTTCTTTCTCTGTCCAAATGCCATCTCCTCAGAGAGGCCTCCACTGGTCCCCAATTTCCCTTTGTCACGTCACCTTGCTGCGTTTTCTTTAGTTTCCTTATTTATTGTTTATGGTCTGTTTCTGTTCTGGAATATAAACTCCCATGAGGGGCAGGAACTTGTTTTGCCCCTAGCCGGTTCTCTAGTGGTTATATAGTCCCTGACACTTAGAAAGTGTTCAGTGAACACTCTGAATTATGGATCCAGTTAAGCTTACCTGAGATAAGAGCTCTTCGGATCTCTTCTTCTCTTCTTCAAGTTTTCCCCTAGCAATATCATTCTCTTCCCTGAGTCTCTGTATCTTCTCTGTTTTATGCCTATCATCTTCCAGATGTTGCACATCTGCCTTTCTTTGTGAATACAACAGCTGATTTAAATCGTGAACTTCTTTTTGGGTTTCTTCATATTTTCTTCGAAATTCACTCAGCTCAAAACTCAGTTGAGTAATGGTTTGTCGTTCAACCTCAAGATCTTTTTTTGCACTTGCCAAGAGATCGTTGTAACATTTCTGCTTCTCTTCTTGAAGATAACCTATGACAAACAACATTATGGCACAACCCATTTTATAAAATAAATAATATTCCTGAGAAGTGAAACATCAAACATCTAAATGAATCACACTATTTCCTTAGTTTACAACATGAAGAGTCAAGAGATAGGGGCTATTGTTGATATTTGATGAAATAAAAAACAAGTTCAGGTATATTCGTTGAAGTTATAAAACTCACAAATAGAAGAACTAAAAACAGTAACATCTATTCTGTAGGGAGGGAAAGTCTAAAGAAGTTCAATCAACAAATAGGAATACAAGCTCATTATCTGTATATGGAGATAACTATCAAAATTAAAAATAGAAATATTAAGAGTAGTTGCCCTGATGGGAGGAAGAAACGGGGATTAGGATGGGAAAGACAGGGCAAGGCCCTTCTTAACTATTACATTATTCTAACAAGTGCTTATATGGCTTTGATAAAACAGACACACAGAGAAAGAGAGAGAGAGAGAGAGAACTGTATTACCAAAGAAAAGAAATTAGACTTAGCCCATAACTAAAATCCTGCTTTTACATAAACACATATTTTACAGAAGCAACTTTGTACCATTAGGGCTGACAGCTTTGAAGTGCCTCCAGAGACATTTATAGTTTCTTTTTAGCATCAGCTTTGTTTTAAATATTCAAATATGATTCTCCAGTCTTATGAGTCTTGTTCCCCTTTCTTTAGACTTCTGTATAAAATTCAAGGCTTTGGTCCCCTCCAAGCTGTCATTCTTTTAAGGAGAGCTTTGCACGGAGTTTCTCATTTTTTTTTTCTTAGCTTGTCATCTAGAATTGCTAAACCTATTTCTTCATTTGTAAAATGAAAATACTGACCTTTCCTGCCCCGCCTCTTAGGGTTGCTCGGAAACTCCACTGAGATCTATGTAAGGGAAACTGCAAAGCACTTGGCAAAAAGAGAGCATCGTGAATAAGAAATTTCATCTCAATTCTATACCTGAAGTTCAGATGATTTAAGGATCATCTATAAAAGGCATTCTTTCTCCTCGGGTTGATATGAATAAGTGCTGAAGGGAAGCAAAGTGAAAAGAGAACTGTGACAAGGCCAACTCTGGGGGAAGTAAAAGCTGGAGAAGGACTTTGAAGAAGGGGAAGGACATTCATGGGTAGAGAAAACTGAATGTGACTTCAGAACTGCCAAAGATCACCCGTTAGCCTGTGTCAGTACTTTCTTTTGATCTGAAAACGTTAGGAAATAAAACTTGCGAAAATGGTATTTCTTACTTCAGGGCTACAAGGCTTGCTCTTATTTTACTTTCTAACACATATCTATAAAAATCTAAATTTGATGAATCACTCCTTTTGGAAAATGTCAGGCCTGTCCCAAGAGAACATTTTTATACCAGTCAGTACCTTCTGATTCAGGCTTTTTTGTCTGCTGTGGGAGTGAATGAGCAGCTGTTTCCGTTTTCTTTTCCAACTCAAAGATTTTTGCTAAAAGTCCTTTTACATAGACTTCCCGCTGCTGATCATATACGAGCCACTGCTGATTTTTCTCCAGAGCCTTAATGGGAAGATGAAAGAAAATCAACAGTAAAATACAAAAACAAAATCTTAAAATGGGCAAGAGTGTCCAAGTGATGTAGTCTTTTCCAACAAAAACTCTCTGGCTCATAGACGAATTCTGGGCAACCATTCTATGTTACATGCCTTCAGAATACATAACAACATGACACCGTCATAGTTTATGTGGGATTAAGTTCATTTGTTTGCTTTTTTCAGTACACAACTTGCTTTGTGTGTGCGTACATATCATTCTCTGTAAACTAAAACACCTTTTGGGGCAGACATAGAGATGAACTGCTCAGAATCCCCCTTCAAGAGCCCAGTTGGCTGAGTGCAGTGGTTCATGCCTGTAATCCCAGCACTTTGAGAGGCCGAGGCGGGTGGATCACCTGAGGTCAAGAGTTCAAGACCAGCCTGGCCAACATGGTGAAACCCTGTCTCTAATAAAAATACAAAAATTAGCCAGGCATGGCAGCACACGCCTGTAATCCTAACTACTTGGTAGGCTGAGGCAGGAGAATCACTTGAACCCGAGAGGTGGAGGTTGCAGTGAGCCAAGATCACGCCACTGCACTCCAGCCTGGAAACTCCAGTGAAACTGTGTCTCTCAAAAAACCAAAAAACAAACAAACAAAAAAGAGGAGCTCTGCCCAGCTGCATGGTGAGTGCTTAGCTGATTAGCTGACAGCCCCCATCTGTTAATTCCTTCAAGTCCCTGTCAGCTTTTGAGCTGAGCTGGGTTGGCCCCAGCCAACAACTGAACAAGTGCCTAACGACTGCTGCCCAACAAGAACTCTGCTTTGCAGTACCCTCTGCTCTGGAGCCCGCCATGTGGTGACAGAGACGTTGCTAGGTTTTCATCATGATCTGATGGTCTCCCTGGCATAACTACTTCCTTTTTCCTTGCACAAATCTTGCTCCCAATAAACCGTTTGCACTCCTAACATCATCTCTGTGTCTTCTATAGAGGATCAAACTCAACAGCTACCTTCTCTCTTTACCACCAACTTTCATCCTTTATATGATCCTTTATAACCCCATTAAAAACTCCAAGCTGGGGTCAGTCACCTGTTTGAATAGGGGTTTCATACTTACAGTGAGTTGAATAATGTCCCTCAAAATTCATGTCCACTTGAAACTTCAGAATATGACCTTATTCAGAAATGGGGTCTGTGGGTCGGGTACAGTAGCTCACACCTGTAATCCCAGCAACTTTGGGAGGCCGAGGCGGGCGGATCACTTGAGGCCAGGAGTTCAAGACCAGCCTGGCCAACATGGCAAAACTCTGTCTCTATTTTTTAGCCCGGCATGGTGGCACACACCTATAGTCCCAGCTACTTGGGAGGCTGAGGTAGCAGATCACTTGAATGTGGGAGGCAGAGGTTGCAGTGAGCCGAGATTGCACCACTGCGCTCTAGCCTAGATAGTAGAGTGAGACCCTGTCTCAAAAAAAAAAGGAGGGGGGGGGGTCTTTGCAGATGCAATTAGTTAAAATGAGGCCATACTGGAGTAGCATGAGCCCTAAATCCAATGACTAGTATCCTTATAAAAAGGAGCAGACACACAGATATACACAGAGAATGGGGCCATGTGAAGACAGAAGCTTTGTATGGCAGGGATTGTAACCAGTTCATTTTACACCAGAGGACTTGCTATAAATCCAGAGCTCATAGTAATCTGAACTTCGAAGAACCTATAACAGTATCAGCAAAGTTCATTTTTTCAAGAGTGGAATACGGATTTCTGATTACTATTTGGAGAACAACACAGTAGCTCTTAAAATGATCTATTATGCATAGACAAAATTTTTCTATTTAATTTCAATCTGACAATATAATATAGTGTTTCCTTTTATAGCAGCCACTCTTTCCAGACCTCCAGTTCCACAATGAAGAAGACATAAGGAGCTTGAAGGTTTTGGGTGTCTATCAGGGCATCTGCTTTCCAGTGAGAATTTCCATCCTTTAAAGACACTGAGTCCCATATCCAGAAAGATCTACATATGTGGAAACTCTTATTAAGTCTAGAGAGTTTCTCTAAGCTTTGTTAGGCTCTTTCTACTAGCACCCTACAAACTTGTGAGCAAAGCTCCTGGGTATGGCACTTAAAGGAGTTTCAGTGTCTGTTTGCTATAGAATTAGCAAATGAATTAGGAAGAAAGAAACAGTCTCTGAAATCAAGGACTTAGTCCAGGAGCCTCAGTCACTTTACCAGACACTTTTCTCTCCACATCCATTAGGGAACAGTAGTCCTCTTTATATGGCTTAAGAGTCCATTTGTCAAGTGGAGATATTGTACATACATTTTGTATTATATATCGTCAATAATGTGAAGTTTTGTGGATGGCTGTTTTCACTGTAGTAATTTGAGTTTTGATTTAGAGTCTGTCTTATTGTTGAAACTTCATGGTAGATATATGATTGTTCAATGACTTTCTTTCAACTTTTGTGTTCGTTTGACATTTTTCATAATAAAAGTTGGGAAAAATAATCAGTGAACTGAGTAAAGTTGAGAAGATTGCTAGGATTCCTGGCCTATTTTAAAACAGGCCGCAGTAGTCACTTTCTTATTCAGCTCCACTGCCATCCCCAGTGAAGTTCTTACTCAGACCCTATGCATCTTTCAAAAGAAAGGACTTACGAGAAACCTAGGATCAGACTTAAATTTAGTTGCTAAGAGAGGAAGCACTGAATGACTCACAATGCACATGTATATCCAAATACCTATAAATTATGGTGTGTTAGATACTAAAGATACATAATTTTATACAAAATTTTACATTTGTCCACATTTAAGAAATATTTTAATACAAATAATTTAAGTCAAAATTAAATGGTCATGAATTTTTTTTTTTTTTTTTTT